CTCTTTTTGCACTTCTCTCATTTTTGCATCCCAAGCTTCCCCACCAAACCCCCACCCAACCTCCTCATCCACAGTCTTAGTGTCACCTCTCCCCCCTCGTCCTTCCACGCTCATCTCCATCTAACCCCCCGCTCCCCCCTTCCTCGCTTTGCCCCGGCCTCCTCCTTGCTCTTAGTCTGTATCGGTGTTGTTTTAGGCACAGCAGTGAAAGGTAAACAGAGAAATTGAAAATTCGTGTCAGTCACTCGGGTGAAAGAGGGACAGGGAGGGAGGGAGCCGGCAGAGGCGGGCGGTTGTGGGGCGGGGGGAAGAGTGTCAGTACAATTTACTAACACAACAGTGAACAGTGAAGCAGGCCAAGGAAGAGAGCGAGCATTAGGTGGAGTGAAAGAGAGACTCCTGAATCAAGAAATCCATCGGAATGAGAAAGATACAAAGGAAAATGTTTCCCGTTCCATATCTAGGAGTCCCGCTGAGCTCACATGTGCGTTGTTTACTTGCTGAGCAGAAAGAGAAGAAGCGGGAGCCCAGATCCAATCATTAGTGCCAAGGGAGAGAGCTCTGATTAGATTCCAAGGTTTTGCTCAGGAGCTCTGGACACATGTGCTGAGTGTGCCAGCTCTGGGCTGGAAATGTCATGAGAGCTCCAGCGACAACGTATGCAGCCGGGCCCCGGGGGTCATTTCTCATTACAGCCCCGATACAGACGAAGGTCATCCAACGGTTCAGGCCTCAAAAACTTTTGAAGCCTGGACAAATATCTTTGAGTCATCCTGGAACATTATCTGTGAAGTTAAAATAAAAATATGCTTCTTACAGTTGTCGCCAGATGTTTGCGTGCACTGCACGAAATAATGGGGTGACCCATTTTTCCACATTTCAATCAGACTGAATTTTTCCCCGCTTTAGGTCAGTTGGAATCATTTTTGTTTGCTAAATACCAGAATAATGAGAGCTAGAACAAGAAAAAAAAAAGTTGTTTGTACATTTGTACTCATAAAAATTATGTTTTGTTTTCTGTCTTTGAAGTCAGAAGTTTATACATAGTGGGATTACTATGATTGTCGATTTCGGAAAGCCCAGTTTTGGCTTTGTATGTTTATTATGGCTTTATTTAGAGCAGCTGAGTACAATGGAGGCTCACTTGTTGATGTGTTTCGAGGCAGCACCTCTTTCTTGAGTGCCATCAGGACAAACATCCAGTCCGGTCATCATGTTGTTTGGGATGGAGTCGGGTTCTGTGACCCGGAGAAGAACGTGTTTTAGGGTGAAACGTGCGAATCAATTGCAGAACCAGAAAGCAAAAGATGCTGTGAAGATGCTGAGCGAAGATGATGAGGGAATGTTATTATTCACAGTAAAGCAAGTGTTACGCAGACACCAGATGGAATGCCACTCAGTGAAGGAGAAGCGATTAATTCAAAAGTGGCATAAAAAGTCAAATTACAGTGTGCACAGCACCCAAGAACAAATAACCTAATTTCTGGTCATGTCCTGTTGTCTGACGAAACTAAAATGGAAACAATCTGTTTCTGTGAAGAGTCGGAAAATCGTGAGTGGATGTTTTTGGGATTTATGCATTTCTCAAGATAAATGCCATTATCCTAAAATGATATCATGTGGAAATAATACTGGAGCAACCTCTAAAGACATGAATCAGAGAGTTCAAGCTCAGGCATACATGGACAAAATAACATTTATCACACCTGTTGTTGCTCTCTGTGTGTCTGAATCAGTTGCCAGATTCCAAGGTGCCCACGGCCTGCATGCAGCCAATCAGAAAAACTGAATCTACTCCTCTTTTCTCCCACATTTTTTTTTTAATCAGAGACGATCCAGTTGCAAACTGTCCTTGTAGATAACACAATATCCAGGCTGAAGACGTAGCTTAAAGAAAATGGAGCCAGTCACAGATAATTCAATCGATCTGCTTGAACTTCATCAAAATCTTCTTTCGTCTGAGAAGCATTCCTCAGCCGAAAAGTCTGACAGCCAAGAGAAAATCATCAACATGAGAATTTTTAAATTGTAAGTCTGCCATAGAGCCTACAAACATAGTCAGGCCTAACATGGCTTCATCATGCTACATTGAGGGTATTAGATTTTTACAATTTTTGTACTTTTTTGTGAAATCCACCAGTGGAAATCCGCTTCATTATGCAGAGTTGTGTCGCTGAGCTTTTAGAAAAGAGAGATACACCTCAGCTAAGCTTTAAAATGAGGTAAGTTGAGTCGCCAGCTTGTTTGTAGCCGGGGCGATGTGACTGCGATCGTTGATTCTGAATGTAAGAATTTCATTCACCTCCAGCTTCACTGAACCAAAAGAGAAAAAAAGGGAGAGAGAGAGAGGTCCATGTTTACGGATTTGCCAAACTGAGGGAATGAATTTTATTTGTATTTCACCCCCTGGCACCTGGCGGTCTCCCGAGATATGTACCTTGGGCAAATAATTTTCTCTGGTCTGTCAGATTTGATCCCAAGGAAAAACAGTCGTGGTTGCCTGGAATGCGTAACCCAGTCAAAGAGGAAAGGAATGATGGAGCAGAAATGGCAAGAGGAAAAGAAGCCGTGTTCATAAAAATATTCCATTTCTCATGTCCAACACTGAGAGACGGCGAAACTGGCAGAAGCAGAACAGACGCGAAGACCACCAGGGCCCAAACACTGAACCAAACTAGCACAGGCAGAAAGCAGGGATCACAACGGTGGGAAAAGAAAAAAAAAGAAAAAAGAAAAAAAGTTTTCACCGAGCCTCCCTGAATAAGGTGAGAGGAGGAGGAATCAGGGCGGGGGGGATTAAATGGACAGCTCATGAGAGGAGAGGAAGGACTGGAGGAGACAAAGGGATTCCCCGATGGCATCTCATCTCGTCTCTCTCTCTCTTTCTTTCTAGCTCTTCTTTTCCCTATTTCCCTCCTTTTTTTCTCCCAATAAATCATTCTGACTTCTCCTTAACCAACTCATTCCCAGCAGGCAAAAAAGAAAACTGTAACAATCTCACTTCTGTACACCAGTCCTCTCTTTTTCTATCCCCTCTTCTGTCTCTTTTTTCCGGTCTGCCCTTTCTCTCACAACAAATAATACCCTAGACGTGTGTCGGAGGTGATGGAGGTGCCGGGGCTTCAGCGTTCAGTCAACTCATCAGACAGCCGATTCCTGTAAATTAAGACAGATAATGAAGATTTACAGACATGCTACAACAGTCGTCTCTGGAAGATTCCCCCTCTCCCCCATTTTGCTACTGCTGCAACACTGAAATACAACGAATAGAAGCAGATGTGATTCTCTGAGCACATTCGCCAACAAACAACATAATGAAGACCAAAGGAACATACAGATCGGTCAGGGAGGAAATGGATAAGTTGTCCATGAAAACGCTGGAGGAAGGAAATATACACAGCTCAGGTTAGAGACACTCTCAACAGGAAAAAAACAAAACACATTTGTCAAATACTTTCCACAAATCGAGTCTTTGTGGAAGAGCGACAAGTAGACGTTGAAAAAAAGCCAATAAGAGCTCTTGTTTACAGTCATGGGAGAGAGAACGCATGGAAGACGGATCCAAAAGTTTACTTTTTGGTCAACATGCACAATGTGGAAACATGGTGGTTGCAGCATTATGCTGTGGGGATGCTTTTCTTCAGCAGGGACAGAAAACAACAACAACAACAACAACAACAACAACAACAACAACAACAACAACAACAACAAAACTAACCAAATCACAAAGCAGTCATTTAAAAATACCTGCTGCTATAGAGGCTGCAACAAACTGAAGACTGGGGCAGAGTTTCACCTTTGATTCCAAACAGGAAGCTACACATAAATGGTGTAAGTCTAATTAAATGAGCATCACTTTTTAAACTGGCTGCATAAAAAACAGAAAGAAAAAAAAATGAAACAGCGACAGACTAAGAGAAGACATATTTTGCTAAGGGAAGCTCCCACTTAGTAAGAAACACTCTGGGGTCTGGGGTGACGTGGAGGAATGGTTGCAATGCTTCTGCCTACAGCTGTTCTGTTGAAGCCCACCGACAGAAACAGATGAACACAAATTCTTTACATAGTTGTATCTGTTAAACACAAAAACGTCCAAACCGTATCATCCTCCTTCTCCCTCCCCCTTTCAGCTTAACAATCGTTGAGGATTTAGGTTGGAAAAATGACAAATGTGAAAAGGTTCAGTGCGCATAAATTCTTCTCTGCGAGGCAGCAGCTTTCAACGTGGATTACTTACAACAGAAGTACATTTGGTTCAGTTTTGTGGTGAGTCACATTTTCCCAGAGGGATTTCCCCCCTTCATGAGGAGGACTGAAGATGAATAAAACTCACCTACAGTGTTTGGAGGGGAATCGGGATTTTTTTTATTATTATTTTTATGTATATATGTATGTTTTTATTTTTATTTTTTATTTTTACCCCTTTCTTTGCATTAATAAGACAACTGTGCGTGCAGGTGTACTTCACTGCTGAACGTTGATGCAATAAACTGGTTGCAGATGATCGCTGGGTCGCACCAAGAGCGGGATGTATTCTTGCAGCATCACTGTGAAGCGCAGGTACTGAAGGAAACAACAACAACAACAACAACAAACCTTGAAGTCTCTCCGATGTCCGGCGATGTGCTGCGACTCGGCCACAAATCTTGGAGGAATGCGTCTTTTTTTTTTTTTTTTTCTGTCTGTCGCTCGCAGGGGGGTGGAGTTAGGAAGTGAACGAGCGCTGCCTACCAAACAGAGAGGAGGAGGAGAAGGAGGAGAGCGACGTGCGGGCAGACTGCTCACCGTGCACGATGGTTGTAGAAGGGAAGAAAGCTTGATTTTGTGTTTTGTTGCTTTGCTGCAGCTTTGAGATCGCCTGCGCATTTATTGGACAAGAAGGGAAATAAGCTGCAACAGTTTAAAAAAAAAAAAAGCATTTAAAAAGAGGAGGACTTTTATTTTTATTATTATTATTATTATTATTATTATTATTATTATTATTATTTATTTATTTTTTTGTTACTGTTGATCCTGTTTTAACATTATTTTTATTTTATTTAAAACAACCTGCACACAACTCTTTTTCGGACTGCTTTAAAGACCCGGAGGAACACCGACCTCCCGCTTGGAACCAACGCCGACCTGCGACACTTCTCTGGCGGCCTCAGCAGCAGCAGTTCCCCGGTGAGAGGAAGAGGAGGAGAGGGGGGGGGGGCGCCTCGGTTATAAACACGGACCATAAACCCCGTTCTTTGAAGCTCTGGGATCCGCTGGTGGAAGAGGAGGAGGAGGAAGAGGAGGAGGTTCGCACAGTCTGGTGTTTCAACAGACTTTTCGCAGCACTTTCTTACCCAAACAGCATCTCTGAAACTAGCCCGTTTGTGTGCATGCATGCGTGAAGCTTCTTCTTTTTTTTTTTTTTTTTTTTTTTTATTTTTTTTCTTTGTTTTTTTTGCCTCCTTCTCGCTTTTT